AACAATGAATAGGATCCACTGGTTTAATAACCTTGGCCACATGAGGCGGAAGGCAGCACACGGCACCTATGAGCTCCGTGATATATTTTGTTTATTCTCTGTGCTGCTCACTTTTGCATTTATACTTTATGGCTTTAAGTTTATAACTTTTTTTATGGATCGTGCCTATGAGGGATACCATGATCAGGCTAAAGAATTATTTTATTGAAATAATATAACAATGGGGAAACATCTCGTGTTATGAGGAGCTTGAGAAATTAATAGATAAATATAAGTTTCTATCTTTCCATGAATAATGTAATGGATTAGTGGAAGGATATAGGCAGAAAAATACAAACGCGAATAACTTATCTTTTATTGGAAAAGGTAAACATAATTATGAAACCTAGAGCTCTACATTTTATCATTAAACTTTAATGATTCAGTAAGTTTTTTCTATACTAAAGAATGAACTATTTGAAAGTATTAGTCTTGAAATGAAGGTATAGTGAATATAAGAGGCTTTTGTCGTTGATTTGAAAACAACCTTTAACCCTAACTGGGCAACGCATCGTAAATGAAGAACTGCTTGAAACGTACAACGGCCACTCGGTCAGTCCTGCATGGGATTACCCTGTCTTTTACACACAGACTAACACTCACACCTACACTTACACACCATAACACTCAGGCGCTTTCTACTGTCTCGCATGTACAGTACCCCGCACCCCCTCCCTCCTCAATCCCATTCCCAGTGTTGCCGTGGGGGGTGGGGGCTTGGGAGACGGAAACTGGAATCTAATGCTTCGGATCATCCCTGCCATGGGCACGGTATTACCCTGCTTTGTTGTCCATCCCTTACCCCTCGAGGGGACCCTGCGAAATGGACTGTTCTCTGCCTAACATACTCTAGGCTTACCATTGCCAATAATAATTAAGACTATACCATCACTTCCCCAACTCCAGGCTCTCCTTTGACCACAACTCTACTACTGTCCCCTCTTCAATGCCTGCTATCCCATCATGCACCTAGGTATATTGCACTCAGCCTCCGGGAGATATTCCTCCTCTCCCAACACCCTCTACCTCCACTCTCACAATTACATTGTTACATCCATCTACCTTCCTCCACATTATCTCAACATAGATGATTTGGAAGATCTACTTGGGCAGTTACCTCATCCATTTCTACTTTTGGGAAATTTCAATGGTCGACATCACCTCTGGGGAGACACTTTATGCAACCCTCGAGGTTTTTGAGTCCTTGTTCTCAAAAACAGATGCAGTTTTATTTATTAGTGGGCAGTACCGTCGACTTCTAGTACCTTGGTGGTCTGCTGAATGCCAACAAGCTTCTTTTAGAGCAAGAAAAGCTGCGTCAAGGCACTTGAAACGACGCCCCAGCAATATAACATTGATCCATTATAAAAAAAGATCCAAGCCAAGGCCAGGCAAGTGCTAAAGGAGGCTAGACGGACGTCATGGAGACAGCATGTATTCTTGATTAACTCTGGGACTCCCTTAGCATGGGTATGGGGCAAGGTGTGTAAGATTATCCATGGCACCACCTGCTCTGAAGATAGATGGCATAATCCTCACAGGCAAAATAGATGTTGTAAATGAGCTAGCTAAATTCATGGCAGAGATCTCCCGGGAATCTCTGCCCGATTCTCCACTCTTTGAGCTGAACAGGAACGACACCCAGTGTCCTCTTTCAGTAGGACTGCAGCAGAACTTCTATACAACTTGCCATTTTTGCGCAAGGAGATGGACTCTGCCTTGCAGCTCTGCCGTAAGACTGCCCCAGGAAGTGACGATATTCCATACCAAATTATATCTCACTTACCGGAGAGTTCCCAAAAGTTCCTGTTGGACCTATTCAATAGGATCTACAGGTAGGGCTAAGTGCCATCCACATGGAAAGAGGCTATAATAATTCCTGTCCCTAATCCTGGCAAAGATGCTTCCACACCAAGGAATTACAAACCAATTTCTCTCACCAGCTGCATCTGCAAGTTGATGGAGAAAATGGTAATCTTCAGGTTGACATGGCTGCTAGTAAAGGTAAACGTGCTGACCCCATATCAATATGGGGTTAGAAAATTGAGATCTACCACAGATGGGAACAGAATTCTTTTGCACAGGGACGTCACATGTTAGTAGTCTTCTTTGACCTTCAAAAGGCTTATGATACTACTTGAAAGCATGGCATACTCATGAAGCTTTTTAACATTGGTTCAAGAGGAGCATTACCTACTTTCATACAAAGCTTCCTTGCTGACAGGAAGCTTAGAGTGAAACAGTTTCTCTAACCTGAAAGATCAGCTGGAAGGGAGTGTCTTAAGTGTGACCCTATTTGCCATTGCTATAAATGACATCGTAAAGGTCGTTCCAAGTGCTGTCTCATGTAATCTGTATGTGGATGACTACACTGTACTGCTCAGGAGGAAGCTTACATGATGTGTCAGAACACATGCATACTGCAATAAATCAGCTAGTGCAATGGGTAACATACCACGGGTTCAATTTTTCTCCAAGCAAGATCAAGGCTATGCATTTCCTCAAACGAGGAAAGATCCATCCTTCTCTCTATTTAGGAGCAAACCCACTTCATTTTGTCCAAGAGATGAAGTACTTGGTTCTATTTTTTGACTCAAGGTTTACATGGGTGCCTCATATCAAACAGTTAAAGGTGAAATCTTCAAAAGCACTTAGTATTTTGCTGGTTCTTCACACCTATCTTGGGGGACAGACCGCACAAGGCTTCTGCAACTCCCACTGTTCTCCGGATGTTGGACTCCGTTCATCAGAATCTGTACAGTATGCTGAGAGTGGAGAACCACCTCTTTTATTACACTAAAAAGGATTCCGGGGTCTCCTACATCCAGATTTTTAACCTCCTTGAGGATAATGGAGAATGAGGAATTTTGTGGAAGATCTTGATTTAAATCTAACTAAGGTTCTGGCCGTTGGAACTCCCCAATTCCTCCCTTGGACCATTCAATTCGAGCTGGATTTGGTCAGAATTGGGAAAGGGGAGAGATCCGAAGCAGAAGTCAGAGAGAGATTTCTTCAACATACTTCTAAGTACCAGGGACCAGATGCAATATATACAGATGGTTCGAAATCTGAAAATGGTGTGGGCTTTGCAGCTGTGAGCAGAAGAAAGACTGCATTTGGTAGTCTTTCTCTAGCGGCATCGATCTTTACTACAGCAATCGTGATAACTAGAGATCTTACAAACCATCCTATTGTAATATATTGTGACTCTTGCAAGCAATCAAGAGCTTAAACCAATCACATCCAGTGGTAAGGGAGGTTCAAGATTGGCTTGCACTGATATCAGCACGTAAAAAGATAACTCTATGTTGCTTGCCAGCGCATGTTGGTTTCACTGGGAATGAGCGAGACGCTCAGAAGGCCAAGGTAGCTGCCACTAAGCCCTATGATGCTTGTTTTCCTCTCCCACACACTGACTTGATACCCAGTATCAGGAGTTGTCTTCGCAAAAAATGGAGGGAACAATGGAGGCATACCTGTAGAAACAAACTGCGAGAGATTAGAGATGATCTTGGCAGTTGGGTGACCAGCATCCATCCCAACCAACAAGTAGAAGTTGTATTAACAAGAATTGGGCACACAAAACTGACTTATGGGCTGATGATGGTTAAAAGTGAAGCACACTGTGAGGGATGCAAAGAGCCATTCACAGTCTCGAATGTAGTGGAAATATGTGCAACATTCTCAGACCAAAGTTGTATGTACTTGTACTAGGATTGTGACATAGGTCGTATTAATTTCCTAACGGAGACTAATATTTTCAATAAATCTTAATTATGCATAATGTTTGTGCAATAATTTTATACATTTAGAACATAATATTTATGCTTTGAATTTTAATATAATATCTATTATAGATCTTAACGTTTTAAATATTTTAATATTTCAATCTAAGAAGGTGTTAGCCACTAATGACCTTAGCTGTTGACGCGGCAGAGAATTTTAAATAATCAATCAATCTAACATACCCTATGAATATCTTTTCAAAATCCCACATTTCTTCCTTTGACAACTTCGATCTAATCACCTTTGTTAATCCCTATCTACTCTCACCCATCTTTGCCGCTTTCAATTCCTTAACTGCTATAAGACTGACGTGTAGCACAGCTAACCCTCCTCATATGTATATGTATATATGTATGTATATATATATATATATATAGATAGATAGATAGATAGATAGATAGATAGATAGATAGATAGATAGATAGATAGATAGATAGATAGATAGATAGATAGATACATACATACATACATACATACATATATATGTGTATGTATAAATATACATATACATATATACACATACATATATGTATAGATGCATATGTATGAATATACATATATATACATGTGTATATATATATTGATAGATAGATATAGATATAGACAGATATGTACACACACACACATATATATGTTCACGTATATATATACATACACATTTTTGTACATATATGTATATATATCTATGGTTAAGGCCATGGTGACAGGCTTCTAGTACTCTGAGAGGATCCTCCTCATAGATATATAGGGAAAGTTTTGGGAGGCTCTAGTTGACAAATGCCGAGGGATAGTAACCCAAGGTGTTCTCTTTCAGGACAGTGCACCTGTCCACAAGAGCATGGTATCCATGAACAAAGAGGTGTCCAGCAACTTCAAATTGTCGCCCTATTCCCTTTATTCCCCTGATCTGGCATCGTTTCCAGCGTATTAAGAGGCAGGTGCGGGGTATCTTTCGCTGATGACGAGGAGGCCAAGAAGTCCAAGTGTGTGTGTGTGTGTGTGGGTGTGTGTGTATATATATATATATATGTACATTATATATATATATATATATATATATATATATATATATATATATAATATATATATATATATATTGTATATGTACATAGACATATATTTACACACACATTCACATATACCTTCTCTACCGACATCCCTTAAAAGCACTGAGCAGCACTTTAATTGGTGGTGGACAAAATGCGGCTTCTGGACTGTCCGTTTGGTGGTCGAGCGACTTTCGTGGCATATTCCATGTATAATTGTGTGACATCGGGTAATACACATCCTCTTTTGTTGCTAGATCTTTTTAAGACAACTGCGAGAAAGTCTAGAGATCGTTGCGAAACTTTGTATTTTAGTGTGTGCAAGATTTGCAGAATACAAGGTCTGACCACCGGCCGCCATGGAGAGAAAAGAAACGGATTTGTGAATGGCTGATAATGTCACCTGCGCCATTCACTGGCAAATTATCATCCAAATGTGACACACCACCTACTTATTATCTGCTGACTTTTAGTATTGGTGATCAAGTGAAACGTATCAAAATAACTAGTTCGAATATAATATACAAGCACATATTTGCTTGTTACTTTCGCTCCACGGCGCCAGGTGGCCAGAACTTGTAATCTATGGATCTTGGTTTGTATGAGGTCACCATTCAACCTGCGAGCTTATTATAATAGTGACTGATTTTACAGAGCATCACACTATTCTCTCATTTTACTTGTAGAAGTATATTACCAAGGAAGAGCCTATTGTAACAGGAGAAATTGGTCGGATATATTTCTATGATAATCAAGAATTGCTTGCCAGCCCATTTGTCTTTGAGCTCCTGCATATAACCAAGCAAATTTCTTGCCAAGATGAGTAATATTGAACTCAAATGTATATTTATCGTTTAAATACAGCTGTTTAATGCCAGCGTATGTACGCAAAATACCGCATACATAAACATCGTCCACCCATATGAAAGGAGCCACCTTGGACGCCTCCAGGAGACGGGGAATTTGCTTGGTTTGTAGAATCCACATGCCTCCCGCGCAGTAAGTTGGGTATTTCGATGCAGGGTATTCTGCCTCGTCTACACTCCACTTGCCTTTCCTTAAAACCGGACCAGTCCCTGAGTGACACAGGAATTTTTCCGTTGAGTTAGCATCTACACTTTGCAGCACCTTAGCCAAGCCGAACACGTCGATGAGAATGTCGTCATCAGAGTGCAGAGTCCACGGCACCTGCTGACAGTGCTGTGTAATCCAGCTGAGAGATGCCAAGGCCTTGTATGCGAGAAGTCTGTACTCGTCCTTGTAGTCAAT